ATGCGTGTGTGTGTGTGTGGATTGAGTTAGGCACTGTACTAGATTCCAACTTAGGATAAGGATAATTTGGATTTGGAGTAGCCTGCTCATTGGTACAGATAGCATTTTATCCTGTAGAACATGAGCCAGATAACGTTTTTCTGTAAAGGACCAGATAGTGCATTCTTTTGGCTTTGAGGGCCACTTATATTCTCTGTTGCCTAGTTACCTTTGTTTTTTCAAAACCTTAAACCACTCTGCTGGGCAGCAGGCCTTCCTTTGTAGACCCCTCTGGAACAAGAGGGTTCAAGGAGGAAGAGGCAGCCAGGCTTAGAACAGGCTGGGTGGCCTGAGTTCTAGCTCACTTCCCCAGTGTTCAGCAGGAGACCGGATCTTACTCCTGTTAGGTGCATGTGAATATAGGAGCATATAAACATATTGAGGTGGTCACAATATTTAAAATGTTTTGCACAATTATATGAAGTGGAAAACATTCAAGGCTCATTTTGTACTCTGAGCCCATACAATGCTTTTATTTTGAAAATTCACCTAAATCTTTAAGTTTCCCAATTAGAAATTTTACCAAAAGATATTATTGTGTTATGTATAGGAGGAACCTTTGGTTGTGGTAGTATTTCATTTATGAAAACAAACTCCAAGCCACTTTCTTTCAAAGCCTTCCAGTTGCCAGGAACTTTAGTGTGAAATGTACTCATCTGCTTTTCCTTAGCCGAAGTATAATTTTAGTACCCATAACCAAGAACAGATGCCTTTTTTATTCAGAAACTGTTAAAGATGTTGAGAGGTAAGCATCCACCCTTGGGATCTTTCTTGTATCTTTCCAGGACCTTCCACACTTTGACCTCTCTCACAGTCTGAGTCCACCTTTCTGGAGCTATGAGTGTTATTTTAATTGTGATATTAAAATGCACACCACCTTTCAGGAGAAGGGCCTGAGCATGTCTATTTGCAACTAGCCCTTCTATCTTCTTGCTCACTCACCCTGGCTTTGCTTGGTTTGGTTTGGTTTTACCATGGGAGGGATTTAACCAATACTTAACAAATCATTCTGTCACATCATTTGCTTGGCTGAAGCAAACAAACAGATGCCATAGAGCATCTCCACAGTTGCTCTTTATTTACAAACCAGATATTGATAGACAGAACCTGTGCACCCCAACCGCGGGACAGATCGAGTCAATATCAATTCCACTTTTATGCCAGTACCTTCCCTTAACTGGTGGAAAGAGACATGCCCCTTCAGTGACTCAGCTTTAAAGCATCTTCTCCTATCTGTCTAGTGAAGTGAAGGTTTGCTCAGAATGCTGTGCTCGTGTGCTTCTGGCAGCAAGCTCTATCTGCAGAATTCCATTCAGAAAACTGCATGGCTGCTAATTTAATTATAAACAAGACTTAAGATTGTGTTTGATTCCAACCCCCTCTTTACATTTGTTCAAAGTAAACATTGTTAGTGAAAGAAAATGTATGAGGCATAGTTTCTAGAACCATTTGTTTTAGATAATCACACATTTTTTTAAATGAAGAAAGCATTATGTGTTCAAAGTACATATAAAATGAAAGAGCCAGCAAGGATGGTTGTTATGGTTGGGACCATGTTGGTTTTGGAAGTTTGTGCTCCACAAACACTGAAAATGTTACCTACCTAAGAAAACAACATGATGATTCAGACTTTTTGATGTCCTTTCAAAAAGAGGTCCACAGCCAGAACTCTGTCGGTGGGAGCATCTGTTTGCATAAAGCACCTGTAGTTCATTAAGAGCTTATGCTGTTGATTGAAACATCCCCCTCACACATAATAGTCACACACCAATGAATAAGGCCACAAAAAAGAGTTACAGTTTATTTTTGCTTTTTATTCTTCAGTTTTTTCAGGCTTGCTGTAAGAATTTAACCTCTAGTATTCTCAAGGGTAGCAGCCTCAGCTTCATAGATGCATGTTGCCTCCTAGCACATGTCAAGACTGACTTGCCTTATACTGCCTTAAAGAAACATGTGCCAATGCCAGAAATGGTTCCTGGGATCCTTGTTTCTAAGGGGATAAACATTGCTAGGCAGGCAATTGTTCCTCTATTTATTTTATAAGAAAGGAGATTTTCCTGCCCTCTTATGATAACTTCTCTTGAAGGACCAGAAAGTATGTTTAGTGTGTAATCCGCAAAAAAAGAAGGGACTTCCAGAAGGCAAAAATCATTGAAAGAATAAGCCTTCCAAGAACACAAGGCATTGTTACTCTCTAGAAACAAAGCTACCCTAATGACAATGCAGAAAAGATTTCGGTCCTAGGAGTTTCTCAGCCAAAACCGGCTTTGAAAACTGAGTAGCTTAAGAGAAAGCCTCACTGTGCACTTGTCTGTGAGTCATGTTCCAGAACCTGCTAGGCTCAGGTAATGGCTTTCTATTGTGTGTAAGAGAAAAGGCAGAAGTACACAGCCTCGTCCAAGTTTCTGCTCTGTAAACTGAAAATAGAAATTTTCCTTGTGAGCACAGTTTAACTGTGAGAATGTCTCAATATACAATGAGTTGGAAAATAATTTTTAAGGTGTAAGATCACAATAATGTTTGGCTTGCATCCTCCTAAGTGGTATTTTGGGGCATCATTTAATATATTTTTAGACCTCAGTGACTTCTTCAACAGAATTCTTTAACAAAGGTTTTCGTGTGCCGATTGTCATTTTGTGAGTGTAGAAAAAGCCATCCCATCTCATATTGCCTACTTTTTTTTGTGCACTCCTGAATCTGGAGAATTAATAAAAAGAAATAGTGAGATGTCCTGGTAGTGGAACCAAACTTTCGACCTCAAATGGCCTTCAAAATATGACAGTTCATGGGCATTCTTGCTGCTGTCCCCACAGTTTTACACTCGAGTGCCACTATTGGCTCTTGCAAGTCAGAAGGAGTAAAATGAACCTGTCATTTATTTGAGGGTTAGAACTCAGATCTTACTAGGTTTTGGGAATTTTCCAGCAGAGTATTTTGTAATAAAGAATGAAGAATTAATAGTTTTCTGGTTCTGTTTCCTCAGCACCAATATGTGAATGTGTGTGTGTGTGTGTGTGTGTGTTTACACACAAACAAGTGTAATGTATGCACAGGCCAAACTGAGAAAGGAGGAGGTGTGAGGCTGCTCATCTGAACATTTAACAGTCTGGAGCAGTTGATTTGTTTGAAGATAATTCCCTCTTCCTTTTCTCCCTAGGAATGTCAAATGCATCCATTTATTTGCTCTTCGTGTCCTTTCCCCCAGCCCTAGCACCACTGCAGCAAATGGAGGGGCTTCGTTTTCTACTCAGCCCTCTAGCTGCCTCCTCCCTCGCGCAGGCATGTGTCAGGGTGATTGCATACCTGGGCTGGCTCTTACCCTTCCCTTACTTACAGCCATCACTAGAATTGTCCCCTTCTGGGATGCCCCTTACCTTTCCTAATCACTTGTGTGACTCAAATAGAATTATTCAGTAGCTCTTCTAAAGAAGTACCTTACACACTTGATTAAAAGCCCAAAGAGGCTTCAGTGAATTTTTTCCCCCTGCTTGAGCAGCATCTGCCAATTTCCCTGATTTTCCTGCTAATTATCTTCGTATTAGCTCACATTCATTTAACATGTTATGGCTCAAATAAGACTGAATGCTAGCTGAGGAAATAGTGGATGGAGGTTTACAGAATTTGTTTGAATAGAGTACACTCCATTTACATTGCATTTAGAAATAGACTTTTGTGTTTAGAACAAGAGAAATCTTAAGCCCAAATGGCTGAGTCTCTTGTTGCCTTTGCCATGGCTGGGTGCCTACAGCATGGCAATTCGCTTTCTCTCTACCATGGCAGCTTCCACCTCCGTAGAATTACATGAGATGGGATTAGAACTTGGCTTTCATGGTGAGACAAGAAGTTCATATTCTGATCTGTCACTTAGTAACTAAATGTCTTTATCAAGTTTATTTAACCTTCTGAAATCCTACTCTCCTCTCCTATAAAATGAGAATAGTACCGGTTGAAGGGTAGGCAAGGACAAGGGGAAAAAATGAGAACCAAGACCTGTCATGTAAAGGTACAAGATCCCAATGATGAATGTAAACTGTACTGTATCCCTAAAATGTACCAATAAACTTAATTTTAAAAAATAAAATGAGGATAATACCTATGTGAGAAGATTGACATTGATCATGATGATACAGACAAAGGGTACCTGGAACATAGCACTCAGTAAGTGATAGTGATTGTTATTATGATTATTATTGATCAAATTAAAATTGTTTATGCACTTCACAAAGTATTACTAGACAGAAATTTTGGATATCTGAGTGTTCAAATCTCCACTACTCAGTGTTTAATGAGTAACCAAAATCAGCATTTCTAGCACCAATTTTGCTTTGGGCATTCTCATTAAGATTTGTTAATCATGCTTATCTCAGGAGCTACATAAAGACTAATATACACATAAACTCACATACGGTCAGCTTATGTGTATATAAAACTTATTATATTTTAGACTATGGTATAATAAATTATAGGTAGAGGAAAATGGATTCCTTATTTTGATTGATTTTGAGATAAATTTATCCAAAACACAAAATCTAAATATAATTTTGCAAAGATCTACCATTGTAGTGTAAATGGCTTTCTCAGTGTTTTAGATTGGGGTCTTGTTTTTGTTATAATATTATTATTGAACCTTTAAAAATGTTAAATTCCCTGTTATTCTCTTATAGAGAAATTTGTCAAAGGTTGAAGGCAGAATGAGTTTTATCTAACAAAACACAATCTGATTTTTGAGAATATAACTCAACTCATGAGATGAAGTTAAATCACTCAGGCTTGTTGATTTCATAAAATTTTAAGTCTGACTCTAACTTTTAAACTAAGTTTTTCCTTTATAAAAAAGTACATAAAATATGAAAGAGGTCCTATGTGTGAATAAATACATATAGATAGATTTTGTCCAAGTTTCTACAGATGAGGTTGGTTGTACCTGGTAACTGGATACAATTAAATGATAGATAAAGTTTCAGTAATATACCAAAAATATAAAGTACAAGAATAAAAATTTCATTTTCTTTTTGTTCCAGGTTCTCTGGGAGATGCTAACAAGGGAGGTCCCCTTTAAAGGTTTGGAAGGATTACAAGTAGCTTGGCTTGTAGTGGAAAAAAACGAGGTAAGACTACGTTTCTCCATTCAGGTACATAGATCAGAAAACAGTATTGGGGTTTTGCAAAAGACTTTTTCATCTTCTTCAAATTGAAAGTAAGTTCACGCTTATGGAAAGATTAGCAGTAGGAGCTAACACAAAGGGTCAAAGTGATGTTATTCCTCATGAATGGACCCTTTACATCTAATTGTTGCAGCTTCACGTCGTGATGCTGTAGATCAAAAATTGTACAAGTACTGTACTAGTTTCTCAGTCTCAATTGTAAAACCTAGGGGTTTGTTCTTAGTGATGAAAGAAGCCATTGCGTCCAAGGTAGGGGAACAGTTTAACTCCATCTCCTGCGTTTAGGACATCTTTTTTACTGGCCGGGAGTTGATATATCTGTAAGAGACCTTCAGCTACTTCAACTTACCTCTCCCAGCAGGAGTCACTATAGTACAAGAAACTGTCGCTTAGATGAGAATTTCAAAAATAAAAGAAGAAAAAATAGTTTCAAAAAAGGGAAAAATTACAGTTTTGCCACCTACGTTGAACACTACATTGAAGATGAGCTCCTCACTGGAATTGGCGAGGCAGTGGCATAACTGTTCGCTTCTTCATGCAGAGCCTTTCCATTTCAAAAGAACTTCAGTGGCGTAAACACCGTTTGTGCTGTGTCCCCAGCCTCGCTTTTCTTCTTCCCACAAATTGAGGCTTTCAGTTAGTTGGACCTATGAGCCTTACATCAGAGAACATGGCACATTCATATCAAAGAGAGCAACTACATTTTGAAAGGTTTAAAATTGTGCCTGAATCGCACAGCCATGGAAATTCTCAGCATAAGGATGAAGCATCCAGTATGAAGGTATTATGAGGACTCAGATCACGTAATAGGAGCATGCAGTTGTCTTTGTAAGGCAAAACAACTTTATTTTACAAACTTCTTCATTTCCAAATCTTATCTGAGCCCTCCACAAAGGGTAAGAGTGCAACCTTAAGATAAAATAATTTTCCAAAAGGCAAATATATAAATATATTCCCTTTCTAATTCTGTAAAAGAATTAGATTGATCTGCTCCCTTTGCAAGTTTCAGGAACAAGTTAATAAAAATCTGCTATTGAGTAGGAGAGACCAAGTTTCCATCTTTTAATCACATAATCCAGAGTTAATCTTACTAATTTGTCCTCCTAATTCATTGAAGATGGATGAAATACTAATGATAGCTGAACTTACTGAGAGAGAGCTGTCAATTTAAGAAATGAGAAAGAGTTAAATGTGCCTTACTCATTGCTTTCACAGGAGCTGCTTGATTTTAATTAAATGTGATAGTACGTCTGAGTGTGCCCTTAAAGAAGACCTCAACGCAGGGTAATATAGCTTTAGGCTATGAGGACCTACTTGTTTCTGTTCTATTTCTTTTGGCAGTGAGATGATTAGATGTTTGGTTTGGGGCTTCCAGATGAAAAGTGAAGAGAGTTATTGACCTTCAGTTGACTCTGGAGCAGAGCAACCCCCTCACAACTCCCTTCCACACTGCACTAAGATAAACCAGGAGAAAGGGTTTTTAAAGCTAACTGGACCCTCTTAGTGTGTATGAGATGGAACGACTAATATATTAGATAATATTCCATTCTAAAGGATGGCAGAACAGGCAAACCTAAAGCATTTTAAAAGCATTCGATATTTAAAGCTGAAGAGAAGGATGATCCTAGATGCTGCCTAAGGTTTAGGAATTCCCACAAATGACCTTCAGCACCTCTTTATGCATTGTGCACAAGGGGGCAGCCTCCTTCTGTCCCTCTCAGGTCCCACAGAGTGTACTGTTTACCCATGGTGTGTTCTCATGATCAGCTCCACAGCTGCTCAAAGACCTCCCACAGTATAATTATCAAATATGGTAGTTGGAAGAATCCACATGGTCACATAACTTCTCTCGATGTTTTTCTAATGAACTTTAAAAGTGGGTATTGTAAGAATGAGTGCTGTTGTCATTCTGCACAGAACTTACTTGCTTACAATATAGAGGTACAAATGCAATTTCGAGTGTTGTCATTTAAGAACGTGTCTTCATTTCACTTCATAAATGGAGGCTCATTTCCAGAACACATTCTCTCGATATAGCAGTAATTCCCAATGATTGCTTTAACTCAGTAACAAAATTGAGACTTAAAGAAATGTAGTTCACAAAACTCCTTCAACTTCTAATTATTTTATTTTATTTACTTATTTTAACTGTTGAATACCTTCAGTTTTGGGGTTGAAAAAAGTAGGTATATTTTTAACAGGCTTCATTTAAATAAAGCATGATGTATTTAAACTGTCAGGGAGAAATTTTAATTGTGATCCAGTCACCCAGTTTTTAGAGTTGCTCTTTATTTTTAATTTTGAAATAATTATAGACTCCTAGGAGTTTATAAAAATATTGTAAAGAATCCTGTATGCCCTTTCCCCAGTTTCCCCATTGGTCATACCTTATGTAGTTATAGTCTGTATCAAAACTAGGGAATCAAGATCAATACATTACTCTTCACCAATGCCAGATCTTACTTGGTTTCATGATTCATCACTGTGATTTACATCTATTGGACATCTGATACTTTGTAAAATTATATCTGAAATTTTTTGTTTCTAATCCCTTATTAATGAAGGCCTTTAAACACTTATCTTTTCCAATATTAAAACTAGATTCATAAAGCTCTGATAAACTTTACCAAGTAAACAGTGAACCTTTATAGAAACCATGAAATTAAGAGTTATATAATTAAGAAATTTTAAAAATAAAACAGTATGCTTATTTGCTTTGTAATTCCCATGAAACTTGATCAGCATTTCAGGTGTTCTGGTAGCATAATTTCTACTTTTATAAATATTTAGATTCTTATATAAAATCTTTTTTGAACAAAAGTAAAACTAACATAGAAACCTTCGAAAAATAGATGTCCTCCTCTTGACTATACTTTAGAAAGATAAACATTTGACTTTAAAATAATTTTTACATCTTATGTAGGAAATAGTGTAAAAAATATGGTCTTTTAAATGTTACACCTAATTTAGTGATTGGGAAATATTTTAATCTTAAACATGAACTTTTATTTTTAAATATTTAAATTTTATATATTGCAATCCTGGTGCTACATTATCTCAGAATGTTTTAATGCATTGAGTGTGCACTGTTATGTAATCAGGATTTAAACATTTTGGTTTCTATTTTAAAGTACTTTTTAATGCACCAAAATAATCCCTTACTTAAAGCGAGTCTAGACTCAACTGATATTTGACCACATTGTATGTTATTTAAAATGACTGTTTCTTTGTGTAATGCTTCTTTGTGTAATGTGTCTAAAAAGTTTTTCAGTAAGAAAAGATGCCAGAAATACTCATTTGTATTCAGCCAGTTCTCATTTCAGTTCACAGAAGATTGTTGAGAAAAGGTTTTATTAAAAAGTGTTGCTCTTCCCCAAAACTCACCTTTAGTTACACATGGAGAAAATTTAGTTGCATAAGTGCACTTATAATGTGTTTTTATTATTTCCCACCTCTCAGATATATTCTTTCAAGAAGAAAAAAGGAAACACTTGGTTTTCCTTCTTACAAGGGTCAGCTTTACAATAAAATAATAGTACAGTTTAATACATGTTACTCTAATCTGTGAGATCAGTAGACTAGAAGTTTAAAAGTGCTTTGGTTAGTCTTTAACCTGGAGAGGATTGTTTTGTCAACTTTGTTTTGATTTTAACATTATCCATAATTCCAAAACAGATCATCAGTTTTCTTTCTAGCTTTACATGCATCTTCTCCCAAATCCAGCTAAGTTCAGTATTAAGTTTTCTGCTTGCAAGACTTCTAGGGAATAAATCTTCTTCATACTTTGTAGTGCAACAGTTCTCAACCCCTGTGTTAGCATAGCACCCTTCAGTCCCTTGGTAGGAAATTCGGAGAAGCACAGTTTACCTGCATACAATGTATTTGACGTCAGTATAGTGCTGTGTTATAAAAGATAAATAAATGAAATAGATAGATTGCATTTTACAGATGGTCAGGCATGGCCACATTGGAGGAGATCCTGAAGCATTCTTAGGTCTTTGCACCTGTGTAAATAATGTTCAACAGCTGCAAAAGCATTGTTTATTTGTAAATCAGAGTTAGAGCCTAGGCCCAGAAAATTATAAACTTCATTGCTTGCTTCTCTTGCTTATGTGAATATACATAAGACATTTGATATTTGGTGAATAGTAAGTGAATTCTTGATTATGTAGGGCTTTCGTGTATATTAAAAGATGATTAGCATTCATTTATTTTTACAGCTTTGGAGATTGAACCTTCGGCCTCACACATTCTAGGCAGGTCTACCACTTATTTATAGCTGAGCCCTTTGAATCTTTAAAACAAACAAAAAGACCTCCTCAGGATGGGGGCTTGACATGTTCTATGAGAACCACTACTGTATAGAATGTTAGAACAGGGTTGTTCCTTATATGATGATTTGTGTTGTATCCAGTCCCTACACTAAATGGATTTAACCAAATCAAAGCCATAGTGAGTCATGCATTCAGAATGTCTTATCAATGACAAAATGCAGAATTAGTTAAAATTATTTCTAATCATCTGGGCCGCAGACGTTTTCTGAATAAGGTACCTGTTGCCCAAAACTAAACTGATTTCCTAATTACATGGCCTGTTTGGATATATTGTCTATGGTAATAAATTTGTGATTTTAGATTTAGCATTTAGGTTCCAACTTGCCCTGTCCTACTACTGTTTCTTTTAGACTTACCTGCTGTTTTGTTACATTAGTCATGCTTGAACCTGACTTCTCCATTCACTAAGGAAAATTAAGAGCCTTTAGAGATTAGATATTACAAATTTCAACATAAATTCTCTGTCACATATTGATCCATGGAACTTTTAAATTTCGCATTTTGTGTATGATCCTAAATTAACTCTTTCAGGGCCATTCAGTTAGTATTTGTTCACCTGAATGAGTAAATCCTTGTTTTGTTTTCCTTCTCCTGGTATAGAGACTAACCATTCCAAGCAGTTGCCCCAGAAGTTTTGCTGAACTGTTACATCAGTGTTGGGAAGCTGATGCCAAGGTATGTTTTTGGTTGTTTTGTTGTTGTCTAGAATCCTGAAATTTCACTTGTTTGTATTGTTTTGAGTTTTTAAAACTTGGAGTAGTAGAATTCCTCATACTTCAAAGATGGATTACTGTTCCTATGAGCCCCTGACTGACTGTGAAGGCCCTCTGTGATGTCGCCTTATCACCATCTCCAGAGTCTCATTACTGACTTCTTTATAACATGCTTTGTTATTCTTGACTCAGTAAAAATAATTTTGTTTTTTTGTTTTTAATCTTTAATAATAGCCACTGCTCCTTTATGTTATGAAAATGTCTAACACACAGTACTTATTATATACCAGGCACTGTTCCAAGCACTTTATGTATATTAACTCATTTATTCCTTAGAATGTCTCTTTGAAATGGGAGTTGCTGTTATCCTCATCCTGCAGTTAAAAGAATCAAGGCAGGCAGAGGTTAAGTAAAGAGCCAAGGCCACACAGCTAAAAGGTGGGGCTGGGCATGAACCTAGGCACCCTGAACTGAGTCCCTCCTGTTAACGCTACTCTGTGTTGCCTTTCTACCCAAGAAGCAGGCAGAAGTAGCACTTCTAGAGATTCTTGGTACATCCTCCTGTCCAATTTCATCGATGTTTTGAAGCTATCACAGTAGAGCTGGAGAAATCCAAAAACTTAGGCTTTTGTGTGGTTATATCTGAGCACAATGGACCCATTTCCTTTCCCTACAAAGACCATTTTAAAAGACTTTGCACACATACGGAAATATTCACAGGTAAAATGATAGGCCAGTTATGGATCTGCATCAAAAAAAGGTGAAAGAAAAGGTTTAACAGTGTAGAGTAAGTCAGATTGGCCATGATAATTTATGAAGCTTTGAAAAACAATTTTAATAGAGGTTCATTATATTGTTCCCTCCACTTTTATGTATATTTAGACTTTTCCATAATAAAATTAAAGAATAAGATTCTCAACAGAGTAAACATTAGAATAAGAGAGCAGTTGTACCCAGGAAAGGAACAAAACCCTTTATAGTTCAAATCTGTTCAGTTTTTCATAGAAGTAGAGGTATTACAACTGACCTTTGAAATACAGGCCTAAAAAGAAAGACTGAAATTGGAATTTTTCTTAACTTTAACCCAGTTCCAATGGGAGCATCAAGTAAATGGACAGTGACAGCCAAGTCTGCCCTTCTATCACAGGTCACTTTGGTGGGGAAGCTCAGAGACAGTCCGTGAATACGGGGACCATGTTAGTGAAACACACAGTCTGTGTTGACTCATGCACAGTGTTTCCTAGCACACTGTTCTGCATTGAGGGCAAAGTACAGCAGAGCAGCCAGCAAGGCAGCGAGGAGCCCCGTGCTGTGGTGTCCTTTCACTCCCCACGCTCCGGTCACTGTCGCCTGGAGCATGCAGGGCCGTTCCACTGCCCGGTGCATTCTGCCTTCATCCTGCCGTTCAGCTGCCTCAATCTTAGTTTTTCCTCCTATTCTTAAATCTTTCCCACCTTTTTTTTCAAGTCCTACATTTATTTAGTATAATTTTTAAGGACTTTAGCCTGTTTTTAAACTATATTAGTATTTTTATTTGTTTGTTGTTATTTTTATTAGTATTCTTTGCATGGGTTTTGAATGGTCTCCCATACCCCTGTGTAGTCCTTAGTAGTAGTAGTAGTAGTAGTAGTAGTAGTAGTAGTAGTAGTAGTAGTAGTAGTAAGTAGTAGTAGTAGTAGTAGTAGTAGTAGTATTTTGGTACCAGGGATAGAACTCAGGACCTTGTGCTTGCGAGGCAGGTATGGTACCACTGAGTGAAATCCCTGGTCCTGGCCTTATTATTTTTAGTGTGTGATTTTGCAGCATGTGGGGTTTTTAAGCATTAATAAAAAAATGTCTGGGGGTGGGGATCTAGCTCAGTGGTTCCGTCACCTGCCTCACAAACACAAGGTTCCGAGTTCAATCCCCAGTACCAAAAAATAAAAGAAGAATGTCTGTACTTTGTATCTAATCTACTTGAAACTGTAAGCAGATATGTGCAAGCTTACTTTAAAATATTTATTTTATACTGTTTAAAAGGCATCATACTACCTACCCTATCTTTACTCCTTCCATAGATTATATATCCATTGTAACATGTACAGTGATTTGGGTAGTATTTTTTCTGTCATACCTAAATAGAAATTTTGTTTGAGATTATTTGCCTTAGATTACATTAATGCAGCTGTATCTCTATAACTGTAATTATATTTCTGTCTGCAAAATAAGTTTTTAATTTTTTAATTGGATGCTCAGTACTACATTCAGTACAAGGTAAGCATGTGCATTATGGTACATTGATTAAGTGATACACTATAAACACCTCACACACCAAGGATATTTGGCCCAGTGTAGAAGTCATGAGGTTGTCAGGCCCCCAACATGTGGACAGCTGACCTTTCTGTAAAACTAAAAGAACCTTATGTTCCTGCCATGTGAAGTATAACGGGGCTTTAAAGTTGATTTTTGTTTCCTAAAGCCATGAAATTTTACTCTGATAAAATTACTCTGTGCCGTGCCCCTGTATTTGATTTGATTGTACAATGGGCACAGCCTTCATTTCCGTCTTGCTCACCTCCAGGCACACACTGCACATTTTCCTTCCCCGACTGCTGGTGTTACTGTTACTGCCCTGATGTCTTGTGCTTCTCCCTGCGTTCTTCATCTTTGGACCATCCTGTTACTCTGCCTGCCCCAGTATAGCTGGCCTACTGCCCTCTTTTGTGCTGCAATGTTGCTTTTATTGTTTTGTTTGTTTTAATATCCTTTTCTTTCTAAATGAATTGCAAGCTCTACAAGGCCATAGAACTAGTTCTTATGTGTGTTTCCTTGTAAGACTTTTTATCATTTTGCTAAGTAGATGCCCAATTTGTTGTTGCCCAAAGAAGCCAAACCATAATAAATTTTCCAAGGTACATTTCAGCTATTTGGCTAGAAATATAACAATTCAGTCAGAAGTTGAACCCAGCCAGTCCTTTGCAAATTTGGAGAGCAACAGTTGGTTAAAGTATTTTACCTCTTTTTCAACCCTTAGACTTTTGAGTATTAATACATAGGTTAAAATATCTGGCCCATCTCTAGAACTGGGGTTCTTTTGCAGTGAGAAGGGTAAGATGTGTGTAAGTGAGAGCTGGTGTTAGGTAAGTGTCAGGTCACTCTAGCAGCCTACCCTGAGTGCTCAGAATATTTCTTTGAAGAAAAAAAGGAAGAAAGGAAAGGGGAGTATTGGTTTAAGCCTTAATATGAAATTTCAGTAGCTAAAGTCAAGAGAAAGTAACATCTTACCCTTCTGGTAAAAGATGGGAAGAGTTTAAGAGAAGACTCTTGTTTCAGTAAGTTGCTTCCTGTGTGATGCCAGGCATTTTATACTTTTCTGAGATTAGTTCTTCTTATTTATAAAATGGAGATAACAAATAGAGAAATAATAGGGCTGCTTAATAAAAGATCTAGTTATATTTTTTTAAATAAGCAAATTTTCATAATACCTAAAGGACTCTTAAGTCCCCAGAAGAATGTCCATCAGATTCTACACCAAATATATTCTATAACCAGGATGCTTAAAAATATCACCACAAAATTCCATATTATTATTACATTTATTTTTATTTTTCTGGTACTAGGAGCCAAACTCAGCACCTTGTGCTTGTGAAGCAGGTGCAGTACCACTGAGCTAAATCCCCAGTCCTTTGTTTACTTTTGAGATAGAGTGTCTTGCTGTGCTGCCCAAGCTGATGGTGAACTCCTGGACTCAAGGCTCAAGTGATCTTTCTGCCTCAGCCTCCCAAATAGCCATGACCACCACACCCAGCTGTTCACTGCTTTTTAAATGTTCACTTTCATCATTTCTATCTGAGAGTAGAGTCTGACTATATAATTAAGATTTTTTTCTAAAGATGCTTCTCATCCAATTAAAAAAATTTTACGTTGTTTCAAGAATAATTAAATGCAGGCAAAATATAATTCTTTAAAATTTCATTAGCTCTTCCTTCTGCCTTGCAAAATGAAAACCCTATATTTATTATATAATAGTTCCTATGCAAACAATTAAAACATTCTTTTTTTTTCCTCATTGAATTTATTGGTACATTTTAGGTATACAGTACAGTTACATTCATCATTGGGATCTTGTACCTCTACAGGACAGGCCTCGGTTCTCATTTTGTTCCCCTTGTCCTTGCCCTCCCTTCACCCCTCCTCCCCTCCCCCTTTACAAACACTTCATTTCCATTTCTTCATTTTCTCATATTTTTCTTTTCCCTTATTAGCTTTCCCCTACCCTTCCCACTTTCCCTACACCTTTAGCCCCTTTCTTCCTATTTCACATTGAAAACATTCTTTCTTTTAAAACCTGACATATACAAACAAAGTTAAAGAAGATAGAGTATTTTTTCAATTTTCTATAGAAGCTATCTTCCTCTTTATTAGATGGCTTAATTGTGTATTAGTAACATTTAGCTACATAGACCTTCTTAAAAAGGACACACACACACACACACACACACACACACACAAGAGCACATGCATCCTTAACAACAACAATGGCAGATCTCAATAAATATTCTAGTTTTATATTTCTGAGAAATAGAAAAATTGCTTTTCTTAGTAATGTAGGAAACACGCAAGTCCTGAGAGCAAGCCACCACCTCAGCATTGTTCCTTCTTGTTTTTATGCTCCTAAATTAAAATGCATGTTTTAATTGCCATGACTGTAATTTGTTCAGAAATGGTATAATTATGAGGCATGCTGAAGAGAGAAGGTGCATCATCCTTTTATTATCTTTCTCCATTTTTGTTTTAACCTTTTGTTTCAACCTTGGCTAGAATCTAACGAGAAAGACTAGTGTACTTACTGCTTGCTGAAGAAATATGCTTAACTGCTGCTTTTTCAGTTTCTGTTGAACAATGTCTTATAGTATCCCAGCACTAAAGCTAGTTCTAATGTGGAATAAATACTGAGAACAATGAAGTTATGGTAACTTTAAAAATTGTTTTCTTTGCTGCCCAACTGATTTGAAAATTTTTATTACTTCCAATAGATTGATAGATATTTTTTCCCAGAATTTCATATAAAAATTTTCAAGTTTACATAAAAATTGAAAGAATTTTATTGGGAATACTAACATGTCCACCATGCAGACTTTACCACTAACTTTTTAATACCTTTATTACGTAGTTGTTTTTTTTTTTTTTTTTTTTTCCAATACCAGGAATTGAACTCATGACCTTGTGCTTGCCAGGTAGGCACAGTGCTGCTGAGCTAATTCCCCAGCCCTCCATCATATAGATTTTTAAGTGACTTTTTCCTTTTAGGAGTCCTTAATCACACCTCCCAGAGAAAATTAGTGCACTCCTTACCTACAGAAAAATACTAGTTATCTCAGCTTGAGGCCATGTCGTAGAAAAACAACATCTGATTCTATTTGTAGGAGTAAAAATTGACTGGACATATATCCTTTCTTCCCTAAACCAAAGTGATTTTACAGTTGTGAAATAACCACATCAGAACACTGTATCATAGCCAGGTGTGGTGGTGCACGCCTGTAATCCCTGCATTTGGTAGGCTGAGGCAGGAGGATCGCTCTGAGTTTAAGGCCAGTCTGAGCTATGCAGGAAATTCCAGGTCAGTCTCAACTACATGGTGAGACCCTGTCTCAAGAAAATCCAAAAAACAAAAACAAACAAACAAAAAAACACTTTATCATGCTTTATTTGGTCCTGATTAGATGAGCTTATTAGTAGGCTGTGGGTGTCTACATTTTTCTCTTCTTTCTTAAGGCTCAACACATGATTGCGCTTCTTTTCTTCTTCAGAAACGACCATCATTCAAGCAAATCATTTCAATTCTGGACTCCATGTCAAATGATGCAAGCCTTCCTGACCAGTGTAACTCATTCCTGCACAACAAGGCAGAGTGGAGGTGAGTAGCTCTGGCCCCAGTTTCAAAGTCCATCACCAGCCTCAACAGAAGAGAATTCAAGGCCTTGATGATTGTCCTGATTCCAGCACAAAAGCACAAAAAAAAAAAAAATTTAAGATTTTGGAGACCTAATAAGTCTTCCCTTTCATATCTAAGCAAGAAAGAGTGTTTCTCTAAGCTTGTTACCTTAGTGTATGTCTGAGTTTTGGAAAGAAGGTTGAAATCATATCTTCTGAGACAAAAGATTACCAGACATTTTTTTGGCCCCTGTCCAGTAAAAGATAAAAATACTCTTTAGCCTTGATAGTTGCAGAGCACTGAATTCACTAGTGCAAAAGGGTAGGGAGACCATAAAAAACTTCTCAGAGAAAACTTTGGATGTTGTAAATCCTATTAAAATTTGTTAGGTGTAATACAGACTTAGTAATAAGAAAATTCTGTGAGTGGAAAAAGTAAGCCTAAGATGAAACACATAAGCCAGGTCACATGATGCAGGAATATAAATAGCATGTTTGGGAACTGAGACTATCCCTCCCCTGACTCAGCAGAGATTTTAAGTAGTTTCATCTCTGCTCCTGACAGCACGGCGGTAACAGGATGCCTTACGCCACCTGCTGATGCCAGATGAATACTGCACACACTTTGACAGTCGGGACATTTCTTTAGGCTGTTTGGTGTTTTACAATAGCCATATTTATTATTCGTTTGGCGTAACTACCTAAAGCCAGTGAGTTTAATAAGTTTTTATTTAGGCATACAAAATGAATTTATTGAGCTCAAGTCTAGGTTTGAGAGACTTTTCTCTGAGCTGAAATAATTAACAAAGTAGGGAAGCAATATTGTTTCCTACAAGGGCCGGGGATTTAGCTCATTGGTGCTGCCGCCTGCCTCACAAGCACAAGTTCCCAAGTTCGATCCCTGGTAATAAAAAACAAAGCAATATTGTTTCCTACAGTAAGAGGTTAGTGCACATCTAATGAGACCATTACCCTTTAAAATCTATACATGGGGGGGCTGCAGATTTAGCTCAGCGTTTCGGTGTCCTGCCTTGCAAGCACAAGGACTGGAGCTCAATCCCCGGTACCAAAAAATAAATAAATAAATAAAATCTATGCATAGGTTCTCATGACTCTTAAGACAAAGACCAAAATACTTAAGAAGACTCAGAAGACCTCTAGACTCCAGCCTCACTGTTAAGAGAATCATTCTACTGCCTAGTCTCTGGCCTTTGGTCTCTCTGCTGAGGCATGTTCTCCCTCACTCGGTCTCCGTTGTATAGAACTATCTTGTCTCAGCAGTACAGTAGCCTGACCCCACCCCAACTCCTGCCAGCCATTCGGATAGCTGTTTCGCTAATACCTCCACAGGCGGGTTCCTCTGACCTCAGGCTAGGTCAGGCCCACCTGTGTCCTCTGAACCTCAGTGTTTATATCTCACTGGCCAAAATGTGGGAGGGGCAGACCATCTCTTCTTTCATTACTGTCCCCACTGCAGCTAGGACACACCTTGCATGCAAAGCTGTTCCCAAAATATATAGGGAAGGAATGAAGAAAATACCACAGTCGGCCAGGGATTTATTTCACTGCACCTGCCTCACAAGCCCAAGGTCCTGAGTTCGATCCCCAGTACCAAAAAAAAAAAAAAAAAAAAAAAAAAAAAAAAAAAAAAAGAAAGAAAATACCACAGTAGTCATAATAGCGGTCATAATGTAAGAGATGTAATGCTTTTGTGTGAGAGAATACAAATGTGTAAGTTAATGGAAGTGCTTCCTCTGCTTCCATTCATGGATTTCTTGAACTTAGGATAGGATAGGAGTGGTTGAGGCTGCCCAGGTATCAAACCATAGCCACAAGTCCAGCTATCTCAGAGCACATGGCGCCCTCCAGCAGGAGTGTGCAATGATAAACTGCTAAATATAAATACACCAATAACTAATTGCTGTTTTGACAAGCATCATGACAGAGAAGTACTGGTTATCTGAGAGTATTAATCATGAAATCTGATCCATTCTGAGAATAGAATGAAAGGTTTCCCCAAGGAAATGCTATTTGATCTGCTATCCAGAGGATTAGTGGATTTAGCACTAGTATTAATACCCTTGAGATAGCAAGCCTTTTAAAGTATGTCAACAAAATCAGAAAATAAAGAGAGGATGGTAAATTTTATGTATAAAACTTTAAGACCCTCATATGGATGAAAGCAATACCCGTGATGAATAAATTTCCAAGAGAAATGACATGCTTTTACAACTTTTTTTTCATCTTTCAAGTGTTTTTGTCTCAGGACTCCATTACATTGTTTAAAATTATTGAAGAATCCAAAGAACTTTGGTTTAAATGAGTTATGTCTGTCAGTAGCTACCACATTAAAAAATAGAACTGAAGCCAGGAACAATGGTATGTGACTGTAACCCCAGCTACTCAGGAGGCTGAAGCAGGATGGAAAGTTCAAGGCCAGCCTAGCATGCTGAGACCCTGGGTTCAATCCTCAGTGCTGGGGGAAAAAATGAGAAAAAAATTTAAATATGCATTTATTGATTCATTTAAAAATCAGTAGTAAATCTTGTTTCTGCATTTAGGCTATGGCTGTCACATGTTATGAAGCCTTTGAAAGAATGGGAATATAAAAGGAAATTCTGTCTTATTGCTATTCTAAAAACCAATTTGACTTTAAGAATCCTTTGAAAACATTTCATGAGTCTCCAGCCCACACACTGAAAACCACTCTGATAAACTATCTTTAAAATAACATTTTAATTAAAATACAATACTAAGAACATGAAAAGCCATTTCATACAAAGAAATGCGGAATGTTTAATAAATACTTTAAAAATTCAGCCTCACCTAGCAATCAGACAAATACATGGGATCATAATTTGTTTTATCAGATGGGAAAATTTTACATTATGAAAAATATCCAGGGATGTAGGCTTTCCAGTGCATTGCTAGTAGGAAAATACAGCTTTCTAAAAGTTAGATGCCTTAAAAGTATTCTTTTTTTTTTTTTTTTTTTTTTGCCAGAAATCCTACTACTACTATTTTATTCCTAAGCAAATAAGTGGGAAGGCTGTATGAGCAATGTGTGGGCATTTATTCAGGTGAGCTTCATTTGAATTGTGCAGCTAGAAAGGTATGAAGTACAAGAGTCATGGTTTTAAAAAATGGCAGTATCTCTATACATAAAATAGTTCAGAAAAATTCATGATTACACAGATCTGCTAGTTAATTTTTAAATAGAGGCTCTATGGTCTCATTTGTTTAGAATGATCCCATTTCTGTCAAGTAAATGCGTATTTGTATGCATATGTATATGGACATGGGAATATAAAGCAGTTAGTTTATCACTGAGTAATGGGATTATTGAAGAGTGTTTTTTATTTGTATATTTGAAGCCTGGATTAGTTGAATGACAAATTTAATTTTTAAAATACTTCAAGGTGAAAGCCAGGTGTGTCGGTGCATACCTGTGCAGTATTGTTGCCAGACCATGGCCACCAGTCATGTCATCCCCAGGTAAATGTGCAATATTCACTTAACCAGACTCTTTTAGCTGTGAGACATTTTGCAGGGCATGATCATTTTAGGCTATTCTTAAGACAATAAGACTCCTACTTGATATGCCAAGTGCTAAAAAGAGAGATGTGTGTTTATCAGATCATCTGGATATTTCAAAGGATGACACATTCAGACTACTCCCTGCTTTCTCTCAACTTTTTTTGGTGCCTAAAACCATGTGACCAGGATCCAAAGAATATTCTTGTAAACAAGAGTCACAGTGAAGTCTGATTCCAAACCTGTTCTGGTGCTTTTGGCAGATGACTGCTTTCTGATAAAGATTCCTCTACACATAGACCAGACGGAAAGTCTATTTTGTGAAAATTCTTTTAAAACTAGATTATTTTAGAAACCACATAAACTGTGTTCTTCCCTTTGACCTACTAAGTGATGGGAGAGAAATCTAGTACCTGACATTTGAGGTTCATCCGAACCTCAGCCTGATTCTTTTCCTACTGACATAAATAAACATTAGGGACAGAAACATGTCCTCCTGTTGGTGCTGTTTCAGTTGTCACTGGCCCATGTGATTGTCTGCAAATCTGTGGCAGTCTGCTCTGAGTGAGCTACGTGGGGTTGTGATGGAGCATTCAGATCTGTGTCTCTTGGCAAAATACTTTGTTGGTTGTATTTTTTCCTTGGTGACCAAAGTACTCTCACCATGACATGTCTTCTTGAAAACAAAAAACAGAGATCAGCAAAATGTAATCTCTGCAATTTGGATATTAGCACAAATTATTTAATACAAACTTTAATATACTAATATATCATGTAATATAAGTACACAAGACCATGCTATTGTTTTTGAAAATTAAATTTTTATTTCAAAGTAAATTTCTGTCTAATGAAAGATCATTACAGTTTGTTGCTGGTTTTTAGCATAGGGAAAGTTGACACTATTTGAAATCAACCTCATTTGGATTTAAGAGTTAACCATAATTTTCATGAACTAAGACATTTAAACTGTATTTTTAGCAGAGAAAGGTTACATAAATGCATCAGTGAATGCATTGGATGGAAAGCAGTGCTCCAGCAAAGGCAAAGGGGAGCAGCCTCTGTGTGACTTCGGGTTTTAGTTCATCCCTAATGACACAGAGCTCAGGTGCTGGGGTGCAGGTTCAGGGAGCTGGGCCAGGGGAGACAGACTGAGGAAGCATATCTTCCCAGTCAGTGATTCTGTGCCACAGCTGTCAGCTTCCTTCTAGCTTTTGATGTGCTTTCCAGAAGGGCTCAGACTCACAGAGGGCTCCCAGAGCTGGAAGCAGAGCTGAGTCCTTGGGCTCAGTTACAACTGAAACAGAATGTATTGGCCGTTCACCCTGATTGGAAAGGACATCAGTGAGATCAGTCTCACTGGCAAGACCTTTGGGACGGGGACGGGGTTGGCCAAGTGCTGCCCAGACTAGAGGTCCAGGCCACTGTGTCTCATCTCAACGGGCATGCCCAGCCGTGCGGCCTGCTTGCCACCCTTTGGCCCTCGCTGGCTGAAATCAGGATGCCCTTCTTTTGTTAGAACAGTTTACCTGAAAGTTTGTCATATCGACCCTACCCATTCTCTCACTTGTTTTAGGGAGATATAATATTTTTGTCAGAAATAAAATTTTGTGGGGGGTACCGGGGATTGAACTCGGGTCCTTGTGCTTGCAAGGCAGGCCACCAAACCACTGAGCTAAATCCCCGGCCCCTATCAGAAATAAATTAAATGATAGTGGGGTGAAGGAAGGGCAGGGGAATGGGGAAAAAAATAACCAAGACCTGTCACGTAAAGGTACAAGATCCCATTGATGAATATAGCTGTACTGTATATCTAAATGTACCTATAAACTTAATGGGGGAAAAAGATAATACATTAGATGTGACATTTGCAATTATAAAACTATCATACTATTTTTTACTTTTTGATAGGAAACATGGAAAATAAATGTATTAGAATTCCTGTAAGGCAAAAAAATTAAATGATAGTTATCAGAAATAAATAATTTGTCAAAAACAAATTTAGACTTTATGATACAGACATAATTCTGAAAGACTGCTCCTTTAGTGCCTTGTTCTTTAGGGACTTGATTCTCTCCCTTTATGCTTATTCACGTGGCACCAGGGAAAGGGAGAGTGCTGATATTTGTGGGCAGCACACCAGTATGTTTTATGCTTACTTGCTGCCTCCCTTGCTGTAAGGAATGCTTCCAACAAGCAGGGGAGTGAGGCCTTGGGCCCAAATCCATTCCCATTCCAGTAGATGTTCCCTTAGTTTGGCTTTGCCAATTAAAACTTAGAACCTTCTTGTTTTCATTCATTTAGTTCTTATCTGTGAGAGCATCAGAATAAGCCATCCACTTATTCTGATTTTGTCTGGGAATAAAAACGCAAATTTTGATTACATAAAATCACTAACTTAAATCTAGAAGCTTCTCTCTCCCACATTCAAAGTCCCAGCCTTGGCGATGCAGCCTGTACTGGTCACCAATTCCAGTCTCTTCCTTCTTTTTCTCTGTGTGCCTTTCTGGCCTTTCCTTCCCTCTACTTCACTCCCTATGTCCTAAGCTTCCTCTCATTACTGTGGCTTACTTCTTCAAAAACTCAAGGTAAGAACTTCCAGTTTGCAGAGCATAAATTTAAACATTGACATCATAGCATCCCTGAAGGAGAAAAAGGTTGTGCTTAGCCACCTTCCCAGTGCCAGTTTCGGTGAAGACGGGTTTCTGCTACTAGGCATATTGTTCCAAGTGTGAAGCTGATTGCGCAGAAAGACGGAGGAGGGAACTTCCTTTAAAAATTATTAGAGCTCCTGAGAGTTGCTCTGGCCCACTGTGTCCTACAATTGCCTGATTGTAACAGCTACCTGGATCAATTATTGAACAATGGAAATTCCTGTCCCCACCTAGCCTACTGAATTATGACTCCTGAGAAAGGTCTCAAGAGTTGGCTCTTGTTCTCAACAAGCTGCCCAGGTAATTCTTAGGATCAGTCAAGTTGTGGAGCCCTGACATGATGCAGCCACCATCCCTTATAACCAAAGGAACTGAGGTTAATCAATTGATTTCTTGGGTGACTCGGCCACTAGATAGGCTAAAGTGCCATCTCAGTCACTTGCTGGTGATCTGTTGATCACCTAACCTGAATGAATGTCATTTTCCTATGCATAATTCAAACTTATCTGGGTTTTTTTTTGGGGGGGGTCTGTGGGAATAAAATGAGAGACTGTGTAACAGTGCTTTGTAAACTGGAGAGCTTGGTGGCTATAAGCTTGAACCAGCCAACCCGGGGTCCCAGCTCCACCGTGGTGCTGCATTCCGGCTGCTCTTCAGCCGTGCTTTGTTGAAGCACTTTGAGCTTGTTCCAAACTAGAAGCTACCCCTTGATTTTTAAGAACGTGAATGATCCCTACTGGCCGTTTCCTGTTCCATTTCAAAGCCTCCCTGTGTTAATTAGTCTTTTACACTGATTAGCTTTCTGATGGACCCACTGAGCATCCGCTGTCACTTCAGTAGATTTGAGACTTAAACCAGTTATCCCCACGCAGGTGCGAAATTGAGGCAACCCTTGAGCGGCTAAAGAAGCTAGAGCGTGATCTCAGCTTTAAAGAGCAAGAGCTCAAAGAACGGGAAAGACGGCTAAAGATGTGGGAGCAGAAGCTGACGGAACAGTCCAACACCCCGGTGAGTGTCCTCCCGCTCGGGCTCCCCAACGCTGCACTTAGAGCAGTGGCTGAGCATGGCAGCCAGGCACCCCTTCTCCCTGCCTCCTCCCTCCTGTGTGTCAAGGCCTGCATTAGTAACAAGTAGTGTAAATGACCCAAGTGCTGAAGTGTAGAAGAAAAACCTTCCTAACTTCTGGCTTTTTCCTTAAGAACTGTCATTCTCTCAGTGGGTTTGTATATTACAATTACAAAAATGAAATCCCATGTATTTTCAAAGTATCTGTTAGGTTCCCAGAACATGTCCCTAAATTCTGATTAACTTTTAGGCCATCAGTAATTAATAACTATAACTCTGAGGCAGCCCTTGATGTGTCAGAGCTTACTACATCTTCCTTCTAAAACAGAGCCAGACAGATGACATATAAATGATAAGCCTTACTGTTTCTTACTCAATTTGGTGTTAGGATCGTGGGCAGCAAAAGACTGGGAAAAGATTTCTCTTGGAACAAGTTTCCAGTATGTTCCACATCTAGGAAGACTTGTTTTTTCCCCAAGTCTTATAGTTAGAGGAACATAAAAATTCTTTTTAAAGGTTCTGCTATTTATACACTAATCTTGAGTTTACATGCTGACATGATACATTAAAATCTAATTCAATTTCAGCATTCTTCCCTATTTTAAAAGATTTATTTTCCGAAATCAAATCTAAATTTATCATTGATTTTTCCAGGGTTTTTTAATGGGTAATATTTGTACACTTAAAATCACAAGTAATGGTAGATTAAAAATAAACTTAAACATTTTAAATTCATTTGTATAGTTTCTATGCCAGTTTAACCAAAGGGGGAAAAAAAAACCTTAATTTTGTGACCTCCAAAGAACTTTCTTTAAAAGTCTTGCTCTCTATTAAGTGACTGATGTCCATTTGCTAAGCATTTTCCAGTGTCTAAGGAATGAAATAGTTTGTGTCTTTTTCTAACTTGTTCAGGGAAGCAACTTGATACCAAAAAAAAAAAAAAAAAAAAAAAAAA